GCCATCTAGTCCAACTCCCTGCAATGCAGAAATCTCATACATACAGGCGGCCATCCAACATCTCTTAGCTGCCAGAAATTTCTTACTGAAGTTAAGCTGGAATCCACATTTTGAATTGAAAGGAGTAGAAAAAGAAACATAAAATGCACCTGAATGTCTGTAAAAAAAGGCTCAGTAAAGATCTTTGCAGCTAGCTTGCCTCCCCCTTTTGGAATCTCCCTGACTTACCGTACCTTCCAGAAGCAGTGACTGGTGGCGGTGGCAGGGTGAAATGGAAGGCTTATCTTTGTATTTTCATTAGCATGAGATTTATTGGATTTGTAGTTCTGAGTGGTCCAGGATCTTTACTAAAGGCGCTGAAACCCTGTTTTGTGCCAATAGCTTTGGTAAAGCTTTTCGGTGTAATGAAAATATAAATGAGTAGCGCCCCCCCCTTGCCCCTTCATCTTGTTACTATTTCTTGAATGTAAGTTCTGGAGGTGGTGTTGGGGTTTGCTCATGATGAACATAGCTAAATTCAAAGGGGTTTTGGAATACGGAGTAAAAACTGTTTTCAACTCAAGGTGGGTCTTGTGTTCTGAACTCACCTAATTTCAAAAATCTGCTACTTCACTAGTAGGAATAAAAAATGTAATCATAGGCACATCTGATTGCAATCGCTTTCTTTTCTCCTTTTAAAGGTCATTAGACAGAAAGCCACAGAGACCTGTACTAGGAAAGTCAAGGACTCTTCCCAGCATTCCTCAGTCCCCAATCATAAACCGCGTTCCACTTCTAGATTCAAAATTGTACAAGAAAGATATGCCAGAACAGAAGCATTACAGAAATCACTCTGCCCCTGACTGTCAAAAAGGATGTACAGTGCCCTCTACAGGTAAGTTTCAATAAATGTAAGTAATCCTGTATACTTTGTTTTTATTATTAATTCAATTTATGTTCTGCCAAAGGTTTGAGAAAAGCTTCAGGACAGCTCTTTTGTAGCTGCCTTTTCAGGAGACTCCTTAAATCATGCGTAGGCAAACTAAGGCCCGGGGGCCGGATCTTGCCCAACCGCCTTCTAAATCTGGCCCGCGGACAGTCCTGGAATCAGAGTGTTTTTACATGAGTAGAATGTGTCCTTTTATTTAAAATGCATCTCTGGGTTCTTTGTGGGGCCTGCCTGGTGTTTTTACATGAGTAGAATGTGACCTTTTTATTTAAAATGCATCTCTGGGTTATTTGTGGGGCATAGGAATTCGTTCAGTTTCCCACCCCAAAATATAGTACGCCCCCTCCCCAAGGTCTGAGGGACAGTGGACCAGCCCCCTGCTGAAAAAATTTGCTGACTCCGGCCTTAAATCATTAAGAAACATAGTTCTAAACATTTTCTAGTTAAAAACTACCTTTAGAAAACTACCTTCCACTTTAATATACTGTATTACAAACGCACCTTCATTTTCAGTTTCTTTTTTCTCTGTGTGTCAGAGTTGTTGCTTGCCCCATGTGTCTCAGCAGGCAGTGCAGTGTACCTCCCGGGGCGAAGTCAAACCACTGGAAAATCACAGTGCTTGCTGTGGCTGCAGAGACGGATAACTTGTAACTGCTGCCTCCCGTGTTGTTTTTGCTGTTAGCAGCACCAAAGTAACCTCTCTGGGGCGTAACCCTCAGCAGTGTGTATGAAGGTCCTGGACTGCTCAGGCAACAACAAGACCACCCTCTTGGTCTTGCTGATGTGGTCCAAATGAAAGCAGAGCAATACATTTGGCACCAGCTTGACTGCAGGAGTTACTGGAAGGAGGAGCACAAGGCGCCATCTAACTGTCTTAGGCCTGGTTGGTGCTGATTTTATTACTGGATTGTTTAAGAAGACATGTAATTGGTGATGTGTTAGCCAGGGCATTTGGGTACCCCCTAGTTTTTAGTGTTTATTCTTGGTTTTTTGTGTGAGAAGATAAAGGAGTGTAATTTTTTCTGCCATTTGTGAAGTTTGGTTGGGGGAATCATATTGGGAGGGTTTGGAATAAGTAGGTTACTTTTGGGAGGGTGATCATTTTGATCATGGCTATTTTGTCTGAGAAGCTGAAGTTGGTGTTGTTCCATTTTCTCAAGTCTTTGTTGATTTGTCACCACAGGAAGTTGTAATTGTGGAGGTATGGTTTGTTGAGGTTTCTGGTTATTTGTACCCCATGGTATCTGAACTTGGTGTGGCAGAGTTTTACCTTAGTGGTGTTGGTGAATTCTTTTTGGATATTTATATTTGAGGGAGTGTGTGTTGAAACACATAGCCTCAAATACCTGACACCATTGCAAATGTGTTGAGTTCTTTGTTTAGGGTAGCTACTGTGTTTATGGGGTCTGGCGTGACCATCAGGTCACCTGCAAAAAGCCCTAATGTATAGGTTCTGCCTTTTGTTTCCACTCCCTTGATGTCTGTTGCTGCTCAGATTCAGATTGCTAGGGGTTTCAGAGGAAGGGAGACAGTGGACATCCTTGTTTTGTGCCTCTTCGGATAGCTATGGTATTAGAGTCCATACTGTTAGTCCTGCATTATGCTGAGGCTTGGGAGTAGATTTGTTTGAGGGTTTGTAAGAACTTGGTACCAAATTTCATGTTGGTTAGTACTGCCAGTAGGCATTTCCATTCTAAGCAATCAAAGGCTTTGAGAATGTCTAGGCGCATAGGACTTCCGGGGAGGTGCCTCCGGTAATGGCGGAATTCCTCTGACCGGGAGGAATCTGCTCCGTGGGAATCTGGGTCTGGCCGCCACGGCGAAGGCGGAGACCTGTTAAAATCACAGGCGGGAGAAGCCTGTGAGCGTGGGATTTGGCGGGCACCTTTTGCGCCTCCCCCACTCACGGGGAACCCCGGTTTTTGGGGCTCCGGAGCGACGTGGGGTGAGTGGCGCGGTGCATCGAATCATCTGCTTCTTCCACGGAGCGAAGCCACATAGCTGTTGCCGGAGAGCGCTGACCTTTTCCTGTGGACAATTTGACTTTAAAGTAATTACCCGTGAGCAAGCTGAAGCGGAAGAATTGGAATTCTAAAAGTTTAATTTGGTATCGCAACGAGGAGGTTCAAAACAGGAAGTCCGCCTTTTGTAAAAGATTAAATTTCCATCGGTAAAGAACATTAAACCCCCTCTTGGAGGCAGGAGAAGAGAAGGGGAAGTTGTGGATTGAGTTTGCCTGTGGGAGAGAGCGAAGAGATTTAAAACACCGCCGCTCTGACCCTGGAAATGGGCTGCTAGCAGAACTGACGTCTTTTGGAATGTCCATTGACAGCGTTTAGAACGTTCATTGACAGCTAGTTAAATAAGAGAAATATATTGTTTCTACTGTCTCCCGCTGCTTTAAAAAGGAGCAAAAGTAACTGAAAATTGAAACTAATTTGAAACTAATTGTTTAAAAGAGGATACTATTGACTATTATAAATAGAAACTGTTTCCCCCTAGTGGAAGCCTTTGAAATCGGTTGCTTTACAAGAGCTGGGCTAGGGGAATTTCCAGCTGCAAGTTAAAAACCGTGAGACTCTGGGACTGACCTTGAATCTTTTGTGTTATGGTAAATGGAAGTGGAAAAACAGACCAGTCAACTGTTGACAAAACATTAAGGTCTGGGAGGACTTGGCAACAATCCAGGAGAGGTCTAGCATCAGGCCCCTCTGCTCCTTCTGTTGCAGCCTTTCTATCAGTATCTTTAAAACCAAGAGGAATGTTGACAGAAGAGGCTTTAGTGGCTACATTATATAAGATAAACGACTCATTGGATCAGCTTCACAGGAAAATGGACACGATAAATGCGAAAGTGGATGTTTCAGTTACTAAAATTAACTTAAATATAGAAAGTATAAATAATACCAATACAGAAACCATCCAGAAATCGATACAGGAACCTACTTTGACAAGGCAAACTGCGGAGGAAGCCAGGGAAAAAGCTGCTGTTGCTGAATGTAAAGAAACACAACTGGAGAGAAAGAGAAAGAGAGCCCCAGCCCTACAGAGGCAACTTGATGAACATAAGTTGACGCTTGCTATGACTGAACTTAAAGAAAAACAGATGAATTTGAGGATTAGAGTTCACCTTTGGTGGACATGCCCAAGGATTAAGACACTTTGGGAGATGATTCATAACAAAATGAAAAAGGTATTTAAATATACCCTTTTGAAGAAACCAGAGGCCTTTCTCCTGGGCATGGTCGGCCAATTAGTGTTAAAGAAGGATAGAACCTGTTCCATGTATGCAACAATAGCAGCAAGAATACTCATTGTGAAGTACTGGAAGACACAAGATTTATCTATTCGGGAAGAATGGCAGATGAAGTTGATGGACTATATGGAATTGGCGGAAACAACTGGCAGAAATCCGAGACCAGGGAGAAGAGTCGGTGGAAGAAGACTGGAAAAAGTTTAAGACTATTTATAGAAATACTGTAAAAATAATGAATGTTAGAAAAATGTTGGAATGAAGTTATATGGCTTCAGTAGAAATGTTATAAGGAATCAAGTATAAATAGACTAATAGAGTTTAAAGGGAAAAATAAGGTTAGAATATGTTAAGATAATTATAGGATAGAAAACAGAGGAAGATGGAAAGGAATTGCTGAAACAATTAATAGAAGTGGAATACAAAAAGGGAGGTGTGAGGAGGTCATGGAAATAAGGGAACGAAAGTTAAGATATTGAAATTGTTTTTGTGTTTTAAATGGTTTGTGTTTTGTTTTGTTTTGTTAGTCTTATATTTTTTCCCTTTCTTTTTTGTTTGTTTTTCTGTTTTGTTGTGTTTAAACGGTTTGGAAAATTAATAAATATTATTTATATAAAAAAAGAGAATGTCTAGGTGCATAATTGTCAGTGGGAGTTTTGTTGTTTTGCTGTGTTTGATTATATTCAGTAGTTTCCTAATAAGGTCTGTTATATTGCGACCAGGGACGAAGCCAGTCTGGTCTGGGGCTATTAATTTGTGTAGAATTTTTTTTAGGTGGTTAGGCAAGATTGATGTGAATATCTTGTTTTTGTTTTTTTTAAATGATATTTATTGGAATTTTTTTTAAAGTTACACAAGAGAACAAAATAGAAAAAGAAAAAAGAAAGAGCAAAGAAAAAACAAACCACATCAAACAATACAAATTCAAAAAAAAAACAAAAATACACCACAAACATTTAAAAACAAATCCATTATTCTCAAATCCTCCACTGTCATTACCTTCTTTCTTTGACCTCCTCCTCCTCCCCCCCTTTTTTTGTATCCTAGTTATTAATTGTCGCAGCAAATCCTTTCCATATTTCATAATATTCTGTCATTACATTACCTTAAACTATTTTAATCTTATCTTACTATAAAAAAACCTTGAAACTTAAAACTTAAATCTTATTTTTACCAACTTCTCATAACCACAATATTCTTACATAATTCTTTAAACATTTTTACTAAAGCCAAGTAATTTCATTCCAACATTTTTCTAACATTCATCAATTTTATAAAACAATCGTAGTAGTAAAAAAAAGGAAATAAAAACAATCCAATCTTCATCCAACGTCCCTTCCTCCTGGTCCCGGGTTTTGTCAGTCCTTATTATCCCATCGATCTAGCGCATTAACCTGGTAACCTTATATCCGAGGCCCTTAAGTCTCTTCCATGTCCCTTCCGCAGCTCTTCTTCATATTTGTAACTGTATTTTCCCTTGTCTCCTGCTCGTTTCACTCGTGGGAACTCCAGCTTAACAATGTTTTTGACCCTTCTCGACGGATCAGCCCCCTTTCCATAATCCACACTAAACTCCATGTGGTATTTAAGAACATGTTTCAAAATCCCTCCAAAATTAGGAGCCCCCACAACCCCAAACATCTCGCGGCCCATTGCCAGACTTGAAAAGTCCAAACATCCCTGCATAGGGGGGTCTATCCAGCCCCCCATTTCCAAACCAAACCAAACTTTTTCTTTCCAAATCTGGCTTTTTCCAAGTTCATTTGTCAAATCCAAAAGCTCATGTTCCTGTTGGGCCACAGCTCCCTCCATCTCTGGCGCCCAAGATCAGCAACATCCTCTTCCCTCATCTGTTCTGTCAGGGCACACTCCTGATTTAATTCCTAGGTGGGCTCCATATATTTTCCCACTGCCTGTTCAAAATTTCCCACTGCCTGTTCAAAATTTCTGATCGAATCAGCCATCAAATCCGTCTTCTCATGTAGCTGTTCCAGTAGGGCATTTGTTTTATAGAAAGCACACAACAGAGCTTCTGAGTACATTGTCCTGCAAGGTCAGAAGTCTGTTCCCACGATTGTAATCTGTAACAGCTGCAAGCTCCCCGGAGTTGGTTACAGTTTCACAGTCTCCCTCTAGGGGGAAAACTTCTATTTGCTCTTTCTTTTAAAGACAAGTCTAGCAACAAAGTTTCCTTTTTCAGATATTTTGTCAATATTTATTCCTTTAAAAAGCGAAGGGGAACAATGGAATCAATGTTTCTCTTCTTATAGCTATCTGTCAAAAACGTTGTCTCTGGTCAATGAGCTTCAAAAAACGTCAGTCCTAACACCCCGCTCCAGGATCAGGACGGTGGAAAGTTACTTTACTTTACCCACACTTCTGCAGGTTTAAACAGTCCGAAAAAATCCCCCCTCTTCTCCTGCTTCCGAAGGGGGTTCAACAATTTTAAATGATGAAAGTTAATCTTTTACAGGCGATTTTCTGAGCTCTAGTTTGCCATGTCTTTGCTTTAATCTATCTACAAAGAAACGGAAGGCTGACTTCCTGTTTAGACCTTCCCGTTTCAGCGCCAAATTGAAGTAAACTTTTAAGTCCAATTTTCCTTTCTGCTCACAAGTCCTTATTTAAAGTCCAATTGTCCGAGTTTTAGGTACTCACGGGTGATTATTTTAGAAGCCAAATTGTCCCAGGAAAAAGGCAGCGCTCTCCGGCAACGGCTATGCGGCTTCGCTCCACGGAAGAAGCAGTTGACTCTCAGCACCGCGCCACTTCCCCCCTCTTCGCTTCGCCCATTAGTGGGTTCCTTTGCGGGTTGGGGGGGCGCTAAGGGTGCCCGCCGAGTCCCATGGTCACAGGCTTCATCCGCCTGTGATTTTTGAGAGGGTCCCCGCTTCGCCGTAGCGGAAAAGACCCGTTTCGCGTGGAGCTAGTCCCTCCAGATCAGAGGGAGTCCGCCATTGCCGATGGCGCCACCCCGGAAGTCCCTTGATGTGAATATCTTGTAGTCTTGGTTTATTAATGAGATCAGGATTTTACTTTGAGGCTGTCTTTGAGTGGTTTTGGGATAGATACTATTTTAGAGGAGGTCCAGGTTTTAGGAATGGGGCCCTCTTTTATGATGTTGTTAAATAGACGGGTCATGTAGGGCATCAGGGGTTCTTTGAATTTCTTATAGAATTCTTCTGTTAAGCCATCTGGCCCTGGGGCTTTGTGTGGTTTCAGTTTTTTGAGGACCATATCTATTTCCTCTGGGGTGGACTGTCAATGAATTTCTGTTCCTCATCAGTTAAGGTTGGCATGGTCAGCCCTGTTAGGAATTTTCTGATTTCCTCTTCAGGTGGGTTAGGTTGGAATAAAATTCCGCAAATTCTGAGGTTATTTCTTTGTTATGTTGCCGTCTTTTTTAGTGATGCAGTGAATTCTTATTTTGGTTGATTTTGCATTGCTTTGTAATGATTTGTTGGGTCTCTGGACCGTAATAAAGATTGATGATGATGATTGTTTTCCCTATGCCTGCTTGCTAATAGTCTGAAGTTTTTCCCTCCAGACTCGTAAAAGTGTTGTTTTGAATATAGAATATTGATCATTGTTTTGTTGATTTCTAGTGAGTTGAGTTCCCTCCTTTTTTGTTCTATAGGTTTAAGGAGTCTTTGGCTCCTGTTTGTTTGTAGCGTGATGAGAGGGTTGTGATGTCTTGTTCTATTTTGCTAATTTTTGACCGCTTTCATAGTGTTCCAAAGGAGAGGGGTTGTTATATTGTCTACATCATTTGCTTTGAAATACTTTTGGAGAGTTTTTGTGAGACTCTCTCAAATTAGTTTATTTGTGATTAGGATGGGACTGAAGGGACCATGATGGGGTGGTTTGTGTTTCTGAAGGACCATGATAGGGTGGTTTGTGTTTCTGGCTGCCAGTGGCACCCCTCTGACGGCAGGGGAGGGTCCTCACAGTGCCTGTCTTCTCCTGGTGTGATAATCTTTGCACAGCTCTCCGTTGGGCCTCTGCCGGCTTCCCTTGTGCCAGTTACCAGAGAGGTTGGATCAGGGCCTCTGCAGCTATCATTGGTAGCAGCTGTGGGAAACTTCTCCACCTGAGACCCTAGAGAGCTTCTGGTAGTTAAACTGTTGTAGACTAGATAGAACACCAGCTCCTTATATTTGTGCAGCGTGTACTGTGCTAAGAGGTTTCAATTTTTAATGGACCTTTTTTGCGTCTTTTCTCATAAAAATATTTATTGCCTTTTGTATGCATGTTCTTCTTTCTCAAACTGTTTTTTTTGTCCATAGAATGTTCACTTAACTCTGCACCCTCATTTTGACCTCTTTTCATGCTAGCAAAAAGATAGGTGATATACTGCTTGCATTCTCCTCTTACAGCTACTGACAAGGGTTTACATTACCTGTGTGAGTACACACACCAATAATATTTATTCATCTAGGCAGTACACACTTAATAAAGAACGAGAAAAACATGCTGTTCATGCTGACAATCTTCAGGAAGGAAACACAGTTGCTTAAATTAATGGAAACATGGTTTTTATCCTTCGGAGGAAAATGTTGACAAGAAGCGGAAATCTTGTAGCAAAAGTGTTAATTTTGGATCCTTATTTGATGGCTATGGGTCCTTTTCTCTCTCTTACTCCCCTGTCCTAGGAGAAGCATGGCAGCTGGAAGATGATTGTGCTGAATCTGTGAGCGAACCTGCCCTTCAGCCAAGGCTGTGCACTGCCATGGACGAAGCACCTTTCAGATCCTTGAGAACTCGGTCCTTCTACATGAGGAAGAGCCTTTCAGTGGACAACCACTTAAGTGCCCTCAGCTATTCTATCCACCCCACAGAAACCAAGACAGAGCGGGTCAAAACTAAACTTCGAAGGCAATTTGTGAGTACCAAATGGCTTATTTCCCACATTTATTGAAAGGCTTGCAGTCCATGCATTTTCAAAATTTGCACCACTGTTAGTTATTCCCGCAAACAGCTTGCGTACTCTGCTGAAACTGATGGTGCAGTATATCAGAAACAGAGTTTGTCTGAGGCCTGGGGTGGGAGTTTTGTTAGAACAAAGTTATAAACTCTAAGCTTAGCCCTCCGAGGCCCAGGATGAGTGTACCTGACTGCCCCCCCCCATTGGCCTGTTCAGAAGTATTGAAGCATTGAATCTTACTTATTGATCTGATATTCAATATCTTCATGTAGCTCCCTACCATCTACATTGTTAAAGCGTATAACTTTTGGCATCCGAAATATGCTCTGCTTGAGTTGGGTAAATGTGTGCACATATTGTGCATATATGCACTCATCTAACTTTCCTTTCAGCTTTGAAATCTGCTGTTGAAACCCTGCATTTGTCACAAGAAAATAAGAAGACTTTTCCATTTGTTGTCACCAATTTTAATCCTTCCTAAAATTTGACTGAAAAATTTTGAACCAGAAATCTTGCAGCAGTAGAATAACAGTTCACATCAGTACATAAGTGGTAAAGAGACTTCAAAACACAGATAAATATCCAGGTTGACTTGAGCAGAACCATATATGGGAGAAATCTAGAATAGAAATGGGTGCTTTTAAGCCAAAATTGCAGGAGCAATCCAGTTACTGGAGGAAGAGTGAAAGAGATGCATGGGAAGAGTTGTGGTTTGCAACTCAAAGTTCAGTATCAGTAATGTATCTGGTTTTAGGAAGGGATGAGTTTGAAATTGTAGCCCCACAGTCTGTGTGTTGAAGGGTAATGAATAATGAACGGCAATAAGCTTCTTGTTTCCCAATCTGTAGCAGAATTTATGTCACATAAATTTAGGAGAACAGATGGAAAAAGCCAAGCACAAGAGAGGTGCCATGTCAAAAGGATAGCAGAAGTGGGATACTTGCTTCTAGCATCTAAAAACTATAGACTCAAGGTCACCAGAAGAAAGAAAGCAATTCAAAAACAATGAAGGATTGTAGGTGGTGCACATTTTAGAATTTTGATTCCCTAACATTGTAGATTGTCATACATAAACAAAATGTTTAAAGGATTTTCACTTACTTGAAAGGGGAAAATATTTCATAAGAGGTTTTTTCAGTTTGTCAGTTTAATTCCAAAGAGCCCATTCCATGTTGCTTTCCAGGCCTTCACTTCTCTAGATGTAAGGGAAGGTTCACCTGTCTCCTTTAAAAGTAGTCCTTATTCCCTAAGATAGACAGGCTAATAATTAAAGCGGGCTACCTCCAGCAAGTAGGGGTTGTAAAGACCAAAATAGGCTTGCTCATAGCTGCAAAACTACTGATTTACGGGGTTACTTTGGAAGAAAGCTGTAAACATTTTTTTCAAATGTATTATTTTGAGTCTAATAGGAGATAGCACTGGAGCAGGAATAACAGATGGAACACAGTTTGTAAAGTAGGATGTTATTAAAATTTAATGGGCTCATTTACCACTTTCTGAGAGACACCTGATCTGAAGAGTGATATGCTCATTTCCTTACCTCATTACCAGTTTCAGGATTGTAATGAAGGGATCAAGTGTAATGAAGGGATCCACTGATAGACAATGCTTCCATAGATAGACTTTCCATTTTGTATGCAAGTACATGTAAATAATCAGAAACAATGAGAGGAAAATAATCAGAAACGATGAGAGGAAACCAGGAGCAGTTGTTACAAACCTGTGTCGTTAGAGGGCAAGGAGAAAGACAGTAGTGACAAAACTATTTGCCTGTTATTCCACAATGCTTTGCCGGTGTCTTTACCCCCATTTTATTTGATATCAGATATTGTTTTTCTGCCTGGTACATAACTCTGCTGCTGCTTAAATTTCCATTTTGCTTGGGTCTGACTGCTCTTTTTTGGGTACTTTGGTGGGTCTCTAAAAATCTTGGTTTCATTTTTCCGCAATGACAATGCTAGTCATGGATTATTCTGATATAAAATATAGAACTCTGCTGTGACAATTCGATGGATTCTGATTTAAGATCCTGGTTCTTCAAATTGCAAGTGAAAAAACCCACAGTTGAATGAAAACAGCCATATTTGATACCATCATTTGTGGTGAGAAGCAGAAAGCATCAAAAGGATTTCTGATGATTAGAGTGAGTCAGTTTTGCTTTGGGGTAAGAAACCGACTGCCAGTTTCTTTTGTTGTTTTATCCTACACTAGAGATTGGGAAGGCATTTTCATTTTGCTTAAATTTTTTGGTGTTTTTTTTCCTTTTTCCACTTAAAATATGTGGTCTAGTTTGCTTGAGTGAGTTATCTGGATGTATTTGTACACCTGCAGTGCAGTTGTTCTTTGTGCCTCTGGCATGCTGTGGTTTAGACAGTGTAGATTAGTTTATGGGAAATTGTGGTGAAGGTGGATAAATGCTTCACTTTTGCAAACAAAACCTTTGACCACATGGTCTCATTGTACTTTTTTGTCCTGTGGTTCTAAGATGTTATATCTCTGGCTTTGTAGATAGCCCAGAGTTTTAAGAAATGAAAAGATGAGGTTAAACCTGAAAAGGCTAAACCTGAGATCATTTAAGCCTTTTTCAGCTTTCAAAACACCTTACCAAAAAAATAAATTGAAAGCATAGTCTGTAGCGACAGCAATAATGGCTTTGTAATATTATTACAGGAGCAAACAAAAGGATGCAGCCCAGGTATGCAGATGGTAAACTGCATTGGCGTGCTTTAGTGGTACCTGGGATACAGGCACATTTCTCTTTACAGTTTCTATGATTTGTTCAAGTCCCCACCATCTTGGCTTACAACAAATAGAAAGAGCTCCTGAGTGTGCTACTCGGAAAACTAGCAGAGAGATCCCTTTAGGAATTTCAATTCTAATCTTCCAGAAAGCAGTACAGATACTGATCTCCCTCTACCCACTTTCCTGCATATTTCCTTCTGAAGAAAGGAAGGTTTTCCTCCTTCCACTGTCTCTCAGGCTTACAGAGATATTTGTTAATACTGATAGTGATGTATGGTGCATCATCCTTCTGACAGTGGCACCCTGTAATCTTGATTGGTAAGTAGATAGATGGTCCTTCCATATTCATGATTCTATTATTATGCTCTTATTGCCACGGGATGCCTAGAGGGCACATCACGTTAAACTAGAAATACTACTACTACTACTACTAATTGATTTTATTTTATTTCTCACAATGAGAGCATCCTGACTCCAGAGATAAACTCTAGTGCCACCTAGTGACTGAACTATTTAATGACACTATCAGCATGCTTCAGGCTTCTGATAATCTTGGTGTTTTTTTCTAGAACCCTAATGGTTAATTGATATCTATTTTGTAAAGCTACAAGATTCATGTGCCTCATGATGCAGCAGGTTTAGGGCACCTGCGCAGATACGGCGCTTCAGGTTGTGGGCTTTTCACATTGCGAATAGGCCTCCGGAATGGATCCCGTTCGTGACCAGAGGTACCACTGTACCACTGAAGAAAACGCTTACTTTGGAGCACACAGAGCAAACACAACCTTTTTTTTGCACCCTTGAGATTTCCTCTTCCTCTCAGTTCTTGAAATCAGTCTGAGTCTTGGAGTACCTTTTAACATAAAAATACCAGAGTAGGCTCATCAATCTATTTAAGAGTGTATAGAGTTGTCAGGCAATCACCTGTTTGAGCACTTGGGTCAGGAATCTATTTAATAATTAGTTTATTTACTTATTAATAGTTGCTCCATAATTCTCTAGGCTGCTCACAAAGCGAGAAAAAGGGATGTTGCAACTGGCTTATAGTTATATACATGTTCTGGGGACAGGCTAGGTTTCTTCAAGTGTGGTCTGATTACTGCTTCACTTTAAAGAGGCTGTTACCACCTGCTCTGCCAAGAAGGAATTTAAAACTTATTGGTGTTTTCTTTTCTGTGTCCCTGAGATGAACCTATTCAACTAATTAGACTTTTCCACCAAGAAGGGCAGGTGGGGTGTGTGTGTGTGTGTGGGTGTGTGGGTGTGTGTGTGTGTGTACTAGCACTTGTATTGTGAACTAGTACTTCTATTATTTATTTGTTTATTAAAATGTATATATTGCTTTGATTGCAGGAAAAAACCTCAAAGCAGATTATAAAAAAGTAACACTTGTAGAAGTATACCTGGTTTTTCTATTATGGTATCATATATCTAACATTGGGTATCTTTTCCCAATTTCTTTCCAAACATTTCTGTTTTATTTTTGTGTGACTATAGCTGTCTCTTTAGTATCTGGGATTCATTTGGCTTTGACTGTTACTTCTGTGAGGAATGTTTGAGAGTGTAAGATAGTAACAAAGAAGTTTAACAAGAATTAGAAGGACAAAATATACTGCCACAGCTTCCCACACAGTGTGCAATTGATATTAGACATGGGAACAAATTATTTCAAGCTACTTTTAAGGGAAATTGTGACTGCAGATAGCAGTCATAAACTCCAATGTATGTCCCCATAGACTTATAACACTGTAGTGAGCTGCATATTAATGGCATTCTTTCTACAGTTAAAATAAAATGGAAATATTTTATTAAACTAACACAAGCAAGGATATACATACAGCTTAGCAACATTAGACTCTTGATAAATTTGAGCTACCCATAGGCTCTTATTAGAAATTTCAAAATCCTTTATTTTATTTTAACATCCTAGGTACCTTTTTTTCCATAAATATGTATTGTTTTTACTAAGGTATACTAATTGAACCACAGAATAATTTGGGAGCTTCTAATGATTCTGAGCTTTTAAAATTATTATTTTATTTAAAGACAACATCTCTTCTGTCTCGCAGCTTAAGGATTTACACCAGAAGTTTCTTAGGCTACAGTGCCCACCTACTGAACTGGAAAAAGGAAGAAACCAGATCAGCAGGGCCAGACTAGCCCCTAGGAATAGTTACAACATGCACCTGATGATGTGGCCTATAGCCCACAAAAGCTAATGCCATAATAAATCTTGTTGGCCTTTAAGATACTACAAAACTCTTTTTTTGTTGTTACAAAAGATCAATACTACTATCCCTCTGGAAGTTACCTTCAGTGAAAACATCTTCACATGTGCAAATGCAGGTTGAAAGTGTTTCAGTTTGACCCTGGTGTGGGGTAGAGAACTAGTATAGACAGTGTCTGTAGTTGACTAGATTGAAATGAATTTCCTCCAATTCGGTTTGAAAATGTAGGAAGTAGCATTGGCAATTATATTTGAGCTGTTTATCAAGAATGACAGAAAGAGGAACAAAAGACATTCAGCTGTGGTCTCTCACTATGTGCAAAGCACCCAACAGGTTACAGTGATTCTAGGTATTGCCATGGTGGATAATTCTGCATTATCTTTCTAAGCTTCCTGCAATAGGACTGGCTTGTGTGACAGCCCTTTTTCAGCATGTGTGCTTTTGTCATTGTCAACTCCACAGTCCTTTAGGCTGATAAAGCTTCAATGCCTTTGAAATATCCAGGTTTAACTGGCTTATAGGATAAACAAACAGCTTGATACCGGTGATCAAACTGAGATTGGACTATTTTTAGCAGCATCTTTGTCTAGTCTCCCAGGTGTAATATAGAATGTTCCTGGTCCTAATGCAAAAGGGATTTGAAGGAGGCAGAGTTGGCGTTTCAAGTTTTTCCATGAGTCTTTTAAATGAACTATAATTTCTGAAAGTTGCTTACTGACACCACAGCAACCAATTTTCTCAGAGGCTGTGCCTAGGAATGATTTATGTGGCCCTAGTAGAGCATCCCCAACTTGCTTAGGAGCAGTGCCATTGTAAATCTCTTTGCCACGTTATCATGGGACAAGAAGAATTGTGACAAAGGGCCTTAAATAGAGTAGAACCCTTTATTCAGTTTGAAATTGTATTTAGATTACTAATATTGTAAGTTAGGTGCAACCTGTAACTTAAATGCTGTATATGATACTGTATGGAATGTTAATGAGCCCTGTGGAGATGTCATGGAGGTGATGGTCAGATCCTGAGGAGAAATGGGAAGAGTTCAGGGAATTGGAGCTGGATGACACTGTGGAGGGTCCTAGTGGGATTGGGGAGGTGATTTGGGATTTCCAAGAAGTGTCTGAGCCCAGAGGGGAGGCCAATAATCCAGGGAATGAGAACTTGATCCAGGGGAGGGGTCATATGGGTTGGCAGAAGAATGTTCTGCCCCTTTGATATTGGACACCCCTAGTTAGATACCTCCTGCTGTAGATTCACCCCTGGCACTGCTTCTGTTAGTGAAATGTAAATCAGATGCTGAGCTAGGGCCAAAACTGTCTCCATTTGCCAGCACCAGCAGGAACATACCTCACAGACCTAACCTGCTTGAAGGAATGCCTGTTTGCTCGCCCAATCCCAAGACTGTTGCTGCTTGCCATTCTATGAGCTGTCCCTCATGGGCGTAGCCAGAATTTTTGTTAGGAAGGGCAGAACCTCAGTTAGCTATGTATTTTTATTGATTTGGGGGGCAGCTGGCCTTCCCCGCCCCCCTGGCTATGCCCATGTCATTTGTTGTATCAATATATTTATTTGCACTTGGCCAGTTGTCTTTCCTCTTAGGTACCTGCTGCACCTTGTAACTTGTAACTTGTGCCTTGCCTATGTGCTGACCTGATTTGTTCACTAAAGCCTCTATCAGAATTACAGCTGCTGGCAGTGAAGACAGGACAGTTTATATGATTTCTTTTCTATTTTATAATTCATTCATGTATATGTTATTCAATTTAAATCACTTGGAGACCTGTTTGATGACAAATGAAAAACAAATAAGCAAACAAACACAGAAAGATTTTTGGTGTGACTTGGAGAGCTAAAGAATGTAGAAACCTTTGTTTTAACAGTTCTTAGAAATCAAATTTTAATTAATGTGTTTTGTTCTGCACTCCTAATGATTTGTTCTAGGTTACTCCCTAGAACTCCCACGGAACTCATGTGGGCATATGAACTTAATATAGTGTGTAAGGAGGGCAATGTCCATGCCAAAAATCAATGAGAATTCCCATGTAAAATCCTTTTTCATTATGCTTACCATGAATGGGTAGTCAGCAATTAACATAGAGTACATTTTAACAAGACTAAAGTACAGAAGATAGCAGTCTACTCTGGGCTATCCGGTAGTAATTTATATATGTAGGAAAGCAAAGGAGGCAAGTGAGAACTACGTTAGAGACTGTCTCCCTGTTCTTCTCCCATCTCTCCCAGGCCACCTGACATCTTGCTCTGTGATAAGGTTCCTGATGAGGTATCTTTGAATGTGATTGTATTAATGTGTTTTGATCTTACTTGTAAGCCACATTGGACAGATCTGTTTCCTTTAAAGTTGGAATGTAAATAGTAAACAAATGAATAGCCTATAGTTCTGGAACTCACTCCCTTTTGTAGCCTTACCAAAATTCAAACAGCAATATTTCCTTGAAATAGTATAATGGACTTTTTGCACATTACAATAAACCATGATTTATGGCTTACCATTAATGAACAGTATTACTGTGACATAACTTTAATTAAAACCTAAATCCAGATACACTGCTATCACTAGTGAGGGGGAAAGGGGAAATGGATATAACGGTGGGGGTGGTAGCCGTTTTGTTGCTCACAGTTCATTGTTTTGTTTAAGAGCCTCAGAAAGGCTTCCTTGCTTGAGTGGTGCAGCAAAGGAAGACACAGTCTTTATAGAAAGATAACATTTAAGGCAGTGGTTTTCAACCAGTGTGCCGTGACACCCTAGGGTGCCTTGAGTCATGGCCAGGGGTGCCACGGGCAATACTGGCCTCCTCTTCTTTCCTTCCCTCCCTCCTCTGATACCCTCTCACGTCTCTGCCTCCCAGAGACTTGTACAGCTGTTTGGTACAGCAGCCCTGGCAACAAGCTCTCCAAGTGAATGGTGCTGCTGGGGCTGGCCAGGGGGTGCTACTCAGGCCCCTGTGGGCCGTGGGAGGGGAGCTCAGAGATGAGGGGCAGCAGCTGCATTCGCCCAGAGGACTCCCAAGGAGAGGGGAGAAGAGAGAAGTCCGAGGGAACACTCCACAAGGAAGGGTCTTTGAAAAACGGTGAGAGGCTGCCAGTTCTGCAGGCAAGGAGTGACATAACTGGGCTCCTGAGCCCCACAGGGGCGCCGCACAAAGAATGTAGTTGGTCAAGCGAGCCCTGGACCCAAAAATATTGAAAACCTCTGATTGCTTAAACAGTACAGGCAGTATTCTTTAAACAGTATAGGCATGTGAGGGGTGGGGAAGGGACAGAATGTGCTTCTTGTCACAAGTGATTTCATACCCCATACATGTCTGTGTCCCTCCTGCACATCTGCTCTATGTAGAACATAAAATAAAAATAGAATTAAAAATGGTATCTGAGATGGAATACTATTTTTCCAACTATCAATATTGCTGGGAAAATGTGGTTTATCTCAGCAACACAAATGCTTCCTTTGGGGAAGAAGTTGAGTTCCCTAGCAACAAAAATGTACTGTATACATATATTGTGCAAAACATGCCAGACATCTGGAAAGCACCCTTTAAGAGTCTGATTGATAACTTGACTGCTGCTATTAATTGAAGTAGGAAAAGCTAAAGCTATCATAACTAAAAAATTATCCAGTTGTCAAATGATGATTGAAGATATAAATTTAGTCATTTAGGTCTGACTGTCAGACAAGCTGTGGTTTGCAACTATATTAAGTCAGAGAAGCAACATCATCATCATAATGGAACAAGAATGCTGTTTGACAACATATATTTTTAATATTTTTTAAAATAATGTTTACAAGATTATATCCTGGTGTGTATAGTTGTACTAAAAGTAATTACTAAAATGGATGTTTCTTGATTTATTCTGAAGCAGTAAGAAACAGGTAGGGCAGTGAAAGCTTGGTGGCCAGCTTTCACGAGCACATCATCAGAGTATGTATGTATATTTGTTTGTGTAGTCAAAACCACTATAAAACAAATATCAGGATATGTACTTGTGATTTTATGGCCTCCCTGCAGAGATGGGGATGGGGCGGGTGGAATGACCATGCAAGACAGAGAATGTAGCAACTCAAACATACATTCCCCCACTGTCTAAGGCAACAAAACTGACCCCATTAATCATAGTGGCTGTGACAATATTGACTCTTTTCTCAGTAAGAAGTTGCAGTGGAACTTGGGGCAGAGCAAGCATACATTACAATGTGGCCAGCCTCTGATCCAGTAAGGCAGAAGAACTTAGGAGTGTTTGGCTAGCAATAGCAATGGTTGGATTGGAATGTCTGGCATTCACCAGTGGAGGGCTTAACTGCAAGAGGGGGTTTATGACTGAAAACATTCCCCTTTTCTACACAGCTCACCCTTAAACATGCATCTCCTGTGTGGGACCTGTATATTGTGCATTGGCATTACCTCAACAGTTGGTGTAGTGGAGTAAAAGTTCCTGGTGTGTGTGTGGAATCCTAAGGCACAGTATCTGTAAGAATTCTGTGAAGACAAGGGTTGGCAATCCCCCATTCCCCAACTTACCAGGAGTGGCCTTTGAAGATTGGTGTGGTGGTGTCTTGGGTCTCCTGTACAGTGGGAAAGCACTTTGAGGCTGCAGGGGAAGACAAGACTGTAAGATCCTGGGAGCCAGCTAGCATCCACACTGGACTCCCAGCAGACAGGACTTCAGGGCAGACTCCCTTTGCCTAGTCCACCTTCATTGGGACGTCCCCATATGTCCTCTATTCATTACCTTCCTGTCTTGGTTTTTTCATGAACAGGATTTTTGTGGTTATCAGCATTACAGTGGACAGCTGTCAGTCACTAGTTTCAGGCCAGGAAGCAATTTGACCCACAGGTAGATTTGCTTTGCTCCTGTGGGTTTCCCCCTACCCCATAGCTATTGTCACAACTTTGTAATGGCAGTAGGGAAGGACAGGGAAGGGGCACTCCACCCCATGTCATCAGGAGATCTCCTTAAGAGGTGTTAGAAGGTGGCACTTCCTGTCCAGAAACCCAGCTTGTGGGTTGATGGACCATAGTACTCCCCTACCAGTGGCTGACTGGAGTCCAGTGGAAGAGGCTCCCACTGTGGGGGACCCAAACATCAGTTGACCCTGTCTATTGACTGACAGATTATCAACCAGCAAGTTGGCTGGATCTTCAGTGCCTATGCCAAACCTATTCTTCTGTCGTCACTAAAGTTGTGGCCTAATTTTTATCCAGCATCTAACTCCTTATCATTGTTTTTTGTCTGTTTCCCCTCCCACGGCTTTGCTGTGCCTGGATCTGCAACCTACTCTTCATATATGTGTTCTGAAGCCAGCTTATTGGTGCAAAGTATCCTTTCTCCATCTTTCCCACCACCAAGGAGCCCCCTTGTTGCTTTCTAAGTGTAAGCAACATAAAGCCAAAGAAGGATGTCAACATCCTGTATCTTCTGTGAGTTACGGGTTTCATGTGCACAGTTGATTTGAATCTTAGGCTCTTTCACTATGGGGTGGATTGATTGAGTGGATGGGTGTTCCCTGTTTTTTGGCTCTCAGGTAGGTGTCTTAATTTCATCCCACTTCTTCTCCTTTTAGTTTCTGTGACTAAGGATAGGGACAAAGCCTCATTCCTCTTCCATGCTTTCCCTGATGCTGACTGTTTTTAATTCTTCTGCTAGTGGAGGTGCACTCATGGCGAGGATATATCAGGATATTATTCCATCAGAAAACCACTGGGGATGTTCCAACATAGACTGCTCCATTGGTGACCTACCTATCTTCATGATGCATTGTGACATCCTAAAGGGTTCTAGCCAGTGTGCAAGAGTTCAGGGAACTGTCCAGGTCATTGCTGATATGTATTGGGGACAATCAGGGGGTTCTGCTGAAAGAATCAAGCACATCTGTCATATTTTTTAGTTTATTGTACTAATCAAGGCTTGCTTCAATTCTATCAGAAAGCTTAGATTTTTAGAACACTCAATTTTCGTAGACTTTGTTCACCGTGACAGAAGTAAGAAGTTAAGCAAAAGTTGAATATGTTTCCCGTTATAGGTCTGAACAATTTCTAGAGCCAGGAAGATGTAGAAAGAGTTAATTTTTGCCCATGTAGCTGATGTAATTAAGAAGGGACAGCTTTGTTTATAGTTAAAAAGCACTTAACAAATGAGACCTGTCTCAGCTGTCTTAATTGTCTGGTGCTTGTAACTCATCTTAGCAACATTAAAATGCTTCAATTCTGCATTTGGCTCTTAATCTGTCTACTTGCTGCAATGCCTCCTGTATTGCGGAACTATTTTCTTCCTTGGGATTGTTCTTGTTTTCTTGTTCTTGCCCTTTCTGCATCTTTTGTGGCAGAGGCACAAATGCAGACTTGACAGGAGGGGAATTGGTGGAAGAGTACTTGGAGAGTTAGGCTGCAGTTGGCATGCTAGCCTGTGACAGCCGAAAGAAAGAGAGAGTATTCAAATGTCAGGCAGACTATGTGTGACAAGGACATGAAGATAAGAGGAAAGGAGACAGTCTGGCTGAGACTGCAGTTGAGAGAGAATTACCAAAGAGGTTGTGTTGGTCTTAGAAATGTCTGTCTGTTTCCCAGATCAAAGAAGGACTGACAGTCCATGTAATGTTTGCTGGTGTGAATGACAAAGACAGATATCAAGAATAGTGGGCCAATTTATAACTCCCTAGGGGAGTAAGGGGGCACACTGGTTTGAGCTGTACTTTGAATCACTGTGATATTTCACAGCAAGCTGAGAACAGACTAAAAGAAGGATTTATTTTACTTTCAGAACATGCTCATAGGTTTTCCTTCCATTAGATAGTTGTCTGTGAACAGCATGCTTGAATTATGCTGTGTGTTACCTCTGTTGGGTTTGAGCCTTAAAAACACCGTTTCACTGACCTATGGCTGTCTTTGCTAACATTCTGCAACAGTTCGGAACAGACTTGTGTTTAATGCAGAGGGAATTTTGTTTGGTTGGTTTTTGAGCAGGGGAGTCATATGTATGTTGTAGCATAGTGAGGTATTCATATTAATCAATCAAGTACTACAGCCAATAGACCAAAAAGAAATGTGTACTAAGAATCTTGGAACAAAACAAATGTTAACATACAAGATAAGAACCATCATATAAAACTACAATAATCTTGATTTAGCTCCTGATAATGGGATTTCCAGTTTCAGGTGGCAAGTTGATCTCTTGCTGTCACCGCTACTGATAGAAATTTAGCCACTGCCAGTGATTCCTTTGGGTTTTTAACTTGCTTTAGATATTTAACTTAAAATTGAACTGACCTTCCTGGTAGTTCATCAGCAAAGGGCCAATCATATGCTGTCAGATTCCCACATAGAGATTACAAAACAGAAGGGGATGTTATGGATTCCTCTTGATTATTACAGGGACATAACCTTAAGGAAAGCGGCCTGGGCAGCATACTTGCATCAAAGCCGAGGTATTCATATGAAACACAAGATGTAAAACAACAATTGACATACTTGTGTTAAGGTGGCATGACCTTACTATTTGAGGCCACATTTATGAAAAGGTAAAGCAATTTAAAGTGATGCTCTCCTTTTAGTAGCTCAAGATCAGGTCAGGCATCTTTGTGTCAGAAATACAACTTAGTGGAAATAACTTCTTTGTCTTTTTTTGAGGGGAATTATGAGTGTTACATCATCAAAATATCATAAATGTCACTTACATGAGTGCACATGAAGCCTACCCTACCTCTTAAGGGTATCTTTTAGATGACTACTCTTGAACTTCTGATTTCACCCTTTTGGGATTTGGGAAACAGCCTGCAGTTTAGAGGGTGCCCCTGTTTTCCTCCTGGCAGTTGGCATTGTGGTCACAGCTCATTGTGTTCTGTGTACCAGAAATTAGTTTCTAGACAATATGTGTAGAAGAAAACCGAGTGGGAATATGCTCCTAATCTCACATGGCTAGAGAATGTACTTCATGAACTGGGCAAAATGTTCATGTATTCTTGGGCTTTTGACTAAATTGGTCAGCACCAAAAATAAGAACAATTCATCCTGTATTCTTCTTAGGCAATTTTCTAGTGCCTTATGGTACCTTAAATCCATTATTGTGTTATTCTTACAACAATCTGAGCAAGGGCAGTGGGTAAGATCTGTATTAATTTACCCATTTTTCAGATGGGAGCTTAAGGCTGAGAGACAAAAACTGGCTTAATCTAAAGCTATCTGCTAAGTCAGTGGTTTCCAAACTTTTTTCAAAGAGGGCCAGATTTGATGAAGTGAAGGGCCGTGAGGGCCGACCAAAGGGCCAACCAAAGTTGCTGACCTTTCTTTAGGATTGAAGTTGTTGACCTTTCTTTAGGATTTTACCCCAAAGTTGTTGAGCTTC